TTTATTACAAATATGCCATGATTTAATCCATAGATTTCAAGGATTAAGGGTTAAGGTTGGATTTGGTTTACATAATTAACATCAATAATTGAGTTAACAAAAGAATCAAACCCTATATATATTATTTAGGGATAAGATCTTTTATTAACCAATCATATGGTATTAAGTTGGTAAACTTATTGGACCAATAATAATAATTCTTTAGTAGAGGTTACTTCAAATGTTTGATTTAATGATGAAGGGCAAATAGGTAATTTTTATGTGGAAGTTACTTTTATGGTATTTAATGAAATGTTACAAATTTTTATGTGTAAGTTACATTTATGATATTTAATGATGTTCATAGGTGTTCATAAAATATGTTCATAACATAAGGTATTCATAAGAATGTGCTCATAGGTGTTCATAAGAATGTGTGCATAACCATAAGACGTTCATAAGATTGTGTTCATAACCATGTAGTGTTCATAGGTGTTCAATAAAATTTAATGAACATAGTCCATATTAATGAACATAATCATATTGTCTATAAGTAAACTCATGTTCATATAGAGGGATATACCCATGTGTATACTAATGTCTATAATAATGGAGATTTTTCTATTAATGATAATAGATTAATGTCCATATGAATATTAATAGGCAGTTACAAACTTTATGAAAAAAATTTCAATAATACCTTTGTTCATTTATGTTCATTTTAGATGATAATGTATTATACTATTAATTATTTCAAAATTGTCGTCATAATTGTCATCCATTGATTCACAAGATGAATGGTTATGATGAGTTTACAAGGTTAATACCATAAATTGGTTAACAAAAGAACTTACTCAATATATATACGGTTGGGTTCACATGAGACCAACTTGTTTTCGTGAGACTATTTTTTTACACTTGAAACTTCACAGCAAAATACTATGAAGGTAACCTTCACAGTGTTTTTGCTATGAAGGTTCGATTTTTTTTTAATCTTCACAACATTTTGCTGTGAAATTTCAAGTGTAAAAAAGTGGTCTCACATGAACCCAACCGTATATATATATATACATATACATATACATATATATATATACATATATATATATACATATACATATACATATATATATATATATATATACATATACATATATAGGGGTAAGATCAAATGTTAACCAAAGTTTTTGTGTTAACTTTGTTAACCGATCTTGGCCATTCAATCTTTCAATAAACGGTTGTGATTAATCATGATAAAAACTTATTTTTTTAAATTTAAAATTGCATAAAGATAAGTGAACAATGTTGAAAAGGGTATT